AAACTGCCTGCCTTTGAGTCAGCAGCACAACTCCTTGCCCCGAGGCCTCCAGGGCTTCCTCAATAGCAGCTTAGTACATCCTATTCTGCACCTTACCTTCTCTTGTGCAAATATTGGCGATCATTCTATAGTTGTGTATATATGAACTTTCTTCATTCTTCCCAATGTCCAGATTGTATTCTCATAAATGGATGTGCCACAGTTTAATCTTCCTCACTGATAGACAATTAAGCTCTTTCTCATTGTTTGGTTCTTTCTTTAATTTCACCAGTACAACAAGATGGATGGGCAATTTCCTCCTGTGCAACTAACTGCCTCTGAAAACCCACCAGAGGGTCAGCTGTATGTTGGCTCCTACTCTGCGGTAAACAACAACAACATATAAATATTAGACACATATATCTTCATGCATGTGTGTTAGCATATCTGAAGACAAAGATATTTGCTCTCTGTGAATTTTCTTTTTGTTGTTGTTGAAGTTTTTGTGGATTTTTAAAGTGACAAATCTCCCCCCCCCGACACCATGTGTTTTTATATGACATATGTGCCTTAGAATGCAATTTTCCCAGAGGAAAACTGTGTGGTGCATATTTCTGGTACAATTTTTAAGCATATTATGACTCCATAATACCACTTAAAACAACAGTGGTTTTCAGGATAGCCAGTCAGTTCGTGTAACATAACTAACAAAATACCAACAGGGAGATTCTCTGTGAGTCTCTCATCCTTTTATAAGCAGAGAGAGTACTTTTCCACGGGCTGAAGGACATTGGTTATTCTTTGCAGAAAGCCAAATGAGTCTCCTTGGACTTCTTGTAACAGACACCCACCAGAATTATGATTCTGGAATAATTTCCATGGCAAATCCCCTCTTTCCACACCCCTTTAAAAGGCAGCTGCGATACTTGGCTTCGAACCAAAGCCTGCTGCAGCTACGATTCCCTAAATTTTATTTATATTTCATGTGCAGTATGTTCAAACTCTCATTTTTCCAGGTGCCAGATGCTGGTTTGGACACACTCCAGTGGAAAGTGCTTTTCTGTAAAATAATAAAAGTAAAACACTAACAAACTGCCTCTTGCTATTAGCCTTGTAACTTCTAAAGTAAGTACTCTAATAAAGACTTCACTTTCCCCCCAAATTTGCATTCCCCAAACTTCCTCTTCATCTCTCTCTCAATCAGAAGACTTCTGTCTTTCAGCTTCTAGGATGTAAATGCTTATGTTATTGTTGTGTACCATCGAGTTGGAACCAACTTACAGCTGACCTCCAGCAAGTTTTTGGAGGCAGCTAATTGCACAGGAGGAGATTGCCCATCTTTCTTTCACCAAGCAGCTGGTGGATTTGAACTGTGCACCTTTGGGTTGGCAGCACAACTCCTTACCACTCAGCCACCACAGCTCTCTGTAAATGCTTATAATCCTCTGTTTTAGTGTTACTTTGAAAACTTTAGAGTGTGGAAGGTTTTGTGTTTAACATGATAGAATTGATTAACGCCTTGTGTGAGTCCACTTTGAGGTGGAAGAAAGGCTTGGTGACCTACTTCCAAAAAAAATGAAACAAAGAAAACCAAAACCAAAACCAAAACCCCAGCCTCTGAAAACCCTTTAGAACACATTAGCCAGATCCATTTATTTTAAAACAAATAGCATCAGGAGATTTGACAGGGCTAGCAGCTAGTGTTCCATTTGTGCATGTGATTGTCCTAGGCTGATTGAGAGGCAGCTGACAATAAGAACAATATAACTCAATCCATCCATGAGCGAATTCAAGGAGGGCTTGAATTAAAAGAGAAAGTATTTTAGCCTCCTTACAGTATTTTTAAAAGACAATAATTTAAGTTAGGAGCTTTACTTAATCTTTGAGTTAGGAGCTTTATGTGTTTTGACTGACAAGTGATGCTTACATATTTATAATAATACTATCCCTGCAGTGACACTGAATAATGGCAAGGCATTCACCATGGACATGCACATGGAATGATTTTGCTGTTCTCCCTCTGTGTGGCAGGGCTACGTCTGCTTAGAGGCAATTCTCAATCTAGTACTAAGGAGTTACACTGACAGCCCAAAGGCAGGTAGTTTGAACACACCAGCTGCTCAGAGAGAAAAAGATGGGCACTCTCCTCCCCTGTGACTCACAGCTTCTGAAAAACCTCTGGAGGCTCCGCTCTGAGTCAGTCAGTTTAGACTTGATGGTACATAGCAATAATAACTTATAGAATCAGCTGCAACATTGTTGTTGTTTGCTGTCAAGTCAACGGTGACTCACAGTGATCCTTTGAACAATGAATCTCAAACCTCCCTTATCCTGTGCCAACCTCAAGGTCCACTGGTGCAGTCACTGTGTCAATCTCTCTTATGTCGAGTGTCCTCCTCCCTTATGCTGATCCACCACGTTTCCAAGCTTGTTGTCCTTCTCCAAGGACTGATTCTTCCTAATAACATGCCCAGGGCATAAGAGCAGAAGTTGTACTGTCCTTGCTTCCAAGGAGCACTCTGGTTTTACGGTCTCGTGGCAGTCCATGGGATGTTCAGTACTCTTTTCCAACACCACAAATCAAAGGCATCAATTCTGTCATCCTTAGTCATGTCCAACGTCCAGCAAGCCATTGAGAAGACCATGACTTGGATCAGGCATACTTTAGTCTTTAAGCTTACATAATTGCTCTCTAGGACTCTGCAGAGGTCCCTGATAGCAGATTTTCCCCAATCCATCTAGTCTTTTGATTTCTTGACTGCTGGTGGTACCAAGGGTGTTAGATCCAAGCACGATGAAATCATTGACAACTTCAATCTCTTCTTGATCTATCATGATATTGCCTATTGGCCCAATGGTGAGGACTTTTGTGTTCTTGATGTTCAGATGCAATTAATCTTGAAGGCTGTAGTTCTTGATCTTCTGCAGCAAACACTTAAAATCTTCCCTCCTCTCAGCAAACAAGGTTGTGTCATCTGTATAAGAAGGATGAGTCTTCCTCCAACCCTGATGCCACACTCTTCTTCATAAAGACCAGCTTCTCGAAAGATTTGTTCCTCATACAGCCTAAATAGATATGGAGAAAGGATATAGCCCTGATGCACACCTTTCTAGATTCTAAACTATGAGGAATTCCCTTGCTTGGTTCCCATTGACAGCCTCTTGGTCTAGGTATAGGTTTTGCGTTAGCACAATTAAGTGTTCTGAGATTCCCAAGCAGTAAATATACATTTGTTAAAGTTGAAAATTCCCTTTTGGCTTCTACTTTCATCTCTCTCACTGGTTTATGCGGAAACTTTTCACTGTACTAAAAACCAGTTTGTTGTCGTTGTTGTTATGTGCCGTCGAGTCGTTTTCGACTCATAGCGACCCTATGCACAACAGCCCTAAACCCTGCTCTATCCTGCGCCAACCACACACTGCCTTTGACACACCCATCCCGATTACCCCAGTCACCGAATCAATCCATCTCATAGAGGGTCTTCCCCTCCTGCGCTGTTTAAATAAAAAAAAAAAAAAAAATCAATAGTCTCCCCTGGAAACAGTGAGAACTTTAGCTGTGAAAGTCTATATGTGCGCCAAAACCTTGAAATTCTATTCTGGTGTTTAACTCCTGTTATCCATGATTTATTTGAAGCAGCTATAACCAAATAAAAAACAAAACAAACATTGTCCAGTTACAGCGCTAGTCACTTACAAGGTTCTTATAGACCAAGATTCTTTCTTTTTTTTACTTTGTCCATTAGATGGCGGTAGATGCCTAAGAAATAACTTCCAAAGGGGCAATGGAGACGGTGAAAGGGGTGTTTTTCCGCTTTTACAGGGTTGCTGTAGCTCTGCTGACCACATCTCTACACCCCTCCTTCCCCTACCCCGGGACCCCTATTCAATGTGTTCATGGGTACACATTTTATTTTTTTTTTCACGGGCGAAGAGTGCTGAGCAGAAGGTTGGCCATTGACCCCCTATTAAATCCTGGCTCTCCTTAAGCAACCCAGTAGCATCTTGCCTGCTGGCAACGGAAATAAACCCTAGAATCCTTCTCAACTGCTAATAGACTTTATAGAAGCTACAATAGATTTAGGAGAGCAGCCAGCATTGATTTAGAGAAGCTACGACATCTGTTGCACGGCATACACTTAATGAGATGGAAGAGAGCGATTCGCTGGTGGGAAATGGCCGCTGTGACCTGTGAACTGAAGTCCCGAAGTGTGACCTGCAAACCAAACCACAAGGGGTGAGTCCCTCTTGTGTGCAGAGCACTTTATCAGAAATGAATAGAAGAGGTGACGTCTACCAAATGCTTAGAATAGAGGCACAATACACACAAGAGAGATAACTGCTAAGCATGAGCTAGCTTGATAAAGTGACATTTGTGTGGAGGAGACAATCAGTGCCCTAAGCCTTTAAAAGAGAGGTCAGCAGGGTCTGAAATGGCTTAAGGTAGGCTTTTTTAGTAAGGAGAAAGTAGAGGAGAAAAGAAAAAAAAAAGAGGTGAAACAAGAAGGTAATGATTAGAGGACTATTTGGGAAAGTCAGGAGAAAGCGAATTTAGAAGGCGAGAGGTGAGAGGAAAAAAGTGGAAGTCAAGTACAGCTGAGACCCCACTGCAGCGTAGGCACCCGCGAGTTCTGCAGACCCTTCTCTATTCGCTTTTAGGCACCCCCCCGCACCCCCAGCATCGCTGTTGGAGTGCAGGACTTCCGGTCAGATTTCTCTCTAGGGCTGTTTCCCGCGCACCTTGACCACCCGGCGCGGCCTGGAGCGTGGCTGACCGCAGTGTCCATGCCAACATCGCGCACCTTGGAGGCGCGAACTCGCAGGACCGCGAGGGGGCGTGGCGCGGGCGGGCAGAAGGGGGCGTGGCGAAGGCGGACCGGGCGTGGGCGGGGCTTTCCTCTCCCCGCGCTCCCCGCTGCCGCCGCCGCCGCCACCGCTGCCATCGCCTCCGCCTGCCGCGCGGACCGAGGGAGCGGGGTCGCCGCCTGCCCGCCCGCGTGCCAGGGCTGCGGTGGGCCAGGATGTCGGGCTTCCTGGAAGAGCTACTCGGCGAAAAGCTGGTGACGGGCGGCGGCGAGGAGGTGGACGTGCACTCGCTGGGCGCCCGCGGCATCTCGCTGCTCGGGCTTTACTTCGGCTGCAGCCTGAGCGCCCCCTGCGCGCAGCTCAGCGCCAGCCTGGCCGCCTTCTACGGCCGCCTGCGGGAGGACGCGGCGGCCGGGCCGGGGGCCGGGGCCGCGCCAGGGGCTGGAGCCGGGGCGGCTGTCAGACCGGGGTCGGGGGTCGGAGGTCGGGGATCGGGGGCCGGAGCCGGGGCGGCCGTCAGACCGGGGTTGGGTGTCGGGGGCTGGAGCCGGGGCGGCCGCCGAGCCCGAGCCACGGCGCCGCCTGGAGATCGTCTTCGTGTCCTCCGACCAGGACCAGCGGCAGTGGCAGGACTTCGTGCGGGACATGCCGTGGTTGGCGCTGCCTTACAAGGAGAAGCACAGGAAGGTGAGCGGCGCGGGCCTCGGCGGCGCCCCGGCCTCTGAGCAGCGCGCGCGTTCTCCCGAGCCCGGTCCAAACAGCTCGCCGCCCACCACCCCCTCTGCTCTCTGTCGCCTTGCTCCATCTTTGCTGGCTCTCCCCCTCTTGTCCCTCCTTGTCTTCTTTCATCTCTCTGAAGCGCACAGTCTTATCCCAGGACTCCGCTGGTTTGGGGCTCCTGGTCCCAGCAACTCCTGCGGTGCCTGTGCCAGGCTGCACCCGCGGTGGGAAGTTTGGCACCCCTTGGCTTCCTGGACCCAGGCTTGTGCTTCAAAGATCAAGAGCCCTCCGGAGTGCTGGGCGCCAGGCCCCTCTGCCCCCTTGTTGGGAACCTCACGTAGGGACTAGCGGGGGGGGGGGGGGCTGGATTAGGTGACCACACCTCCCTCCCCCACGGTCGCCGCTTCCCGCCGTAGGTGACAGAACAATCGTTTCCTTCCTTCTGCCCCTTGACACCCTGGGGATACCTGTAGTCAGGGGGGCAGGGCGCTAGCCCCCTACCCATAATGCTCAAACCAGGAAGTTTCCATTCTTTCCAAGAGAAATCTGCATTCCTTGGACTGCTGCTCCCCTCCCTCGGTAACCAGGAAACTTGGGGGCTGAGGCTGCTCTGCGCCTTGGGGAGCCCGCCACCGACCGTGGCCTTGGGCACGGAGGGAACGCACTCCAATCCCCTCTCCTCCGTCACAACTCTTTTCTTGGCTGAATTAGTGGCCACCGGGGAGCTTTTCATTGTCTCCCTGTCCAGCTCTCCTCCCCCAGATGCCTCCCAGCCACAGGCACAGCAGACCTCTTCTTGCGGGGTGGGCCACTGTCGTCTTGGCATCCTTAGGCTCAAATGCCGAACTAATCCCAACGATGCAGATTAACTGAAAGAACAAGGATTTGGGGAAATTTATACCTTGCTGTCAACTTTTCATTTCTTCCAGAAATGAAATTCGTCTGGGTTGTCTGAGTGTGTCTGTCGGATAAAGACGGCTAATTTTAGTAAAAAACAAATCCAGAGAATTTTGTCATGAATGAAAACAGAAAAGACATTGTGGTGCACTCTTGCTTAATTAGGGGGTCTGCTGCTAAGGGGGTGAATCCAGGCCCTTCCCTGAGGAGACTCTTAGCTTAAGGAGTGAGGCTGGAGAAGTTTTGTTGTAGCGGGTTTGGGTTCCTCTAGGGAGGATGGTAACACATGCCATGTGTTTCTTTTATGTGTACAGTATCTTGTTGAGAACCATGATTTAGATTTAGTGAGAGCAAAAGGCTTATACCGTGACCTCAAATGTCTCGAGTAAATCATCCATTCCTAAGCAATGTACAGGCTTGGGATTTAAAGTATGAAATACAGTTTGTAAACCTAACTTTGAAGAAATGTGGACTCTCTAACCACACAGAGGCAAAACTTGCCCTCGTAGCCTCGTTTAAGGTAATTTTTGCCCCGATTTTGATTTGTGTGATTGGTAGGACCTGAATATATATGCATGAACCATAGTTATTTGCTTTAATATATGGAAATTTCTTACCCCACCCCACCTCACCCTGGAAATAGTGGTGACTTTTGGGAAAATAGAGTTTTCAGACTGTGATTTGCTAAAAATTGTTTCAGTTGTTATGCCAAGTTTCTATTGTAAACCAAGGTCTGTTTAAAATATTGTCCTGTTAGGCAGTCAATACAAGTGACTTAAGGTTTCAAAAACACAACAATGGTAAAATGTTACAGACCTAAGGCTTTTGTTTGTGTTTGTCATGGTGGAGGGAACTAGATTTGTTGCATAGTAAAAGTAGGGAGCAAATGGAGATGTTTGGCAAATGGTTTGAAACTCTAGTAAAATAGGAGCGTGTTTGATAAACTTGGGCCATGGCCTGCCTGTCTGGTTCTGGCCTGCCTTTTTATACACTAAATAGTGTTCTGGGGCCCTAATCTGGTCCAAGTTCTACCAGGACAAGATTCTCAATGACACTGACTGGTTAAATGCTCGTCTTGAAAATACAGTTCAGGGTGTTGCACGTGCCCAAACAGTAATATATTTGCATCTGAAAAATTTATTTTATATTGAGTTTTTCTGATTTGTGTCCTAGAGTTATCCTAGAGTTCCCGTGTTCTCTAAGACCAACCCCATTTTTCCCAGCTCTGCCCCTTCATGTTCATAGATAAGCAACTTAGGACCTCACCTCACAAACCCTCTAATTGGTGTTAAGACACCAATTCAAAAGACTTCTTTCTAGCTGTGTTTCCTATGGAGAATGTTTTTTTGAGAATGACAAAATTACCTCCTTTGAAAGGAGTTATTTTCCCATCAAATAGAGCTAAAAAATTCCTTCTCTTTCACTTTGATTTATGGAGGGGAGGGAAACTCTCATTTGAAATTGGAGTGCTTACAAATCTGGGAGGGAGTGCTGGTAGGTTAGATAGAGGTAAGGAGTTGTGCTGCCAATCCAGAGGCACATGGATTGAATCCACAAGCTGCTCCATGGCAATTGACTACCTCTGAAAACCCATGGAGAGTCAGCTGTGGGGCAGCTCCAACGCCATAGTTCTCAGCAACAAGAACAAACATGTCTGAGAGTTCAGATAACAGTCTGTGAACTTGTGGCATTCATTCTTACGGGTTACCATCTAGGGGTTTTTTTGTGTGTTGTTTTTTTTATTGTTTTGGTGTTTTTTTGTTTGTTTGTTTGTTTTTTTACGAGTGGCAACCCCTTAAGCTTTAGAGCAAAACTGTTCTCCATTAGGTTTTGCTGGCTGTTTTTTCTGAATTAAATCATCAACCTGTTCTTTCAAGATGCCTGAGGGTGGATTAGAACCTCCAGCCTTTCATTTAGCAGCAGAACATATCAACTATTTGCACCACCCAGGGACACTGTAAGGGCAGTGCACTCTGATGCACTCAGCTCTTGTATGAGTGGACTCAACCTCTGGCTAATGGACTCTCTGAATTGTTTTACCAGCTATAAAAAGGGAAACCAAAGTTCTAGATGACTGTTCGGGTATTTTTTAAGTTCCCATTAACATTTGTCCTTCAAAATCATTCGTATACTTCTTTCCCATTGGGATAAGAAAGGATTATGGTTCTAATTAGTTATTGGCTGGCATTTCTCTAAAGAAAATTGAAAAATGATGGTGGAGAAAGCAAAAGCCATGTGGTGTTTCTTTCTCCCCCTCCATCCCCTGCTTTTATTAATTTCCCCTTTAAATAGTAAAAAAGTCTCAAGTCTGAAGATGACCATATATGTTAAGCTTGTGTTTGCTTTCCTCCTCTCACCTTGATTGGAATGATGAGGAAACACCAAATAGAAGAAATCCAGCTTCATTCTTTGTTTTGTTGTCAATTCTTTTGGAAGGTTGTCCTGTTTATACTTGTTCTAGTGGCAGTGAAAAAGTAATTGACACTTCAGTGTTTGTGTTTCCAAAACCCACACCTATTATATAGCTGTATAGAAATTGTAATTAGATGTTAATAGAACTTTGAGTTTGTTTATAGTAAGAGTAGTATAATAAGAGAAGTTTTGTCAGGAAACATGTAATTCTCAAGTAAGGCAGTTAGATTTGTTTTAATAAGCACTGACAACCCAAAGGTGAGTGGTTCGAATCCACCATCTGCTCCGAGGGAGAAAGATGGACAGTCTCCTTCTGTGCCATTTACAACCTCTGAAAATCTGCTGGGGGGTAAACTGTGAGTAGATTACCACTTAATGATGTAACAACATCAGTCTTTATAGGAAATCACCATGTCATTTCTTTTGCAGAACAACTGGTGTGTTTGAACCACCAGTCAGTAGCTCAGTCATTAAATTCAATCACAATAGCTTAGCTCCTTGGAGATAATAATATGAAAAACTCATTGCTTCCAATTGTTTCTGACTCATGGTGACCCTCCATCGGGGTTCTGAGGCAGTAAATCTTAACAGGAACAGGCTGCCTTATCTTTCTTCCTTTAAGTGACTGGCAGATTTGAAACATCAACCTATAAGTTAACAACTCTTAATACACTATACCACCAGGGTTCCTTGAAGACAATAATAACATCTACTTTCTAGAAGTATTATAAAATTACATGGGATAAGATGTGTGTGTTTATAGTATGTTGTTGTGTTGTATGTTGTGATTCAGAACCGACCTTTAGCTGACCTTCCAGCAGGTTTTCACAGGCAGTTAATCACATGAGTGGAAATGGCCCATCCTTCTTCCTAGTGTGTGTAGTATATATAATATCATATAATATAATGTAATGTAAGCATAGAGTCACTGTTGGTTGCAGGTGACTTGACAGCACATAACAACAACAACAATAATAATAATATAATTGTTGTTTGTTGTTAAGTGCCATCAAGTCATAGATAACTCATAGCAACCTTATGAACAAAAGACCTGAACACTGTTCATAGAGTTTCTGGAGGCAAGCCATTTAGGAAGTAGATAACACTCCTGCTTCCAAGCTTGTTTTAATCAGGAAGCTCCATCAAACACTGTCCACCATGGATAACCATTATTGCATTTGGCACATGAGTGTCACAGTGTTTAGCATTACAGCAACCATGCACAGACCAGTGTTATACTACTTAGAAGAATGTTTGACAGAAAAACCATTTAAACCAGGCCCAAGAGCCGCAGGGTTTTTAAATATGAGGCTTTATCACATCTCCTCACTTCCCTTGGCGAATCAACATTCCACCCTACCCCTCACCAAATCACAACCAGCAGCTTCTGTAGAACCAGCTCCTGTAGCTGACTTTATTATACTACACTACACTACACTATATTATACTATACATGTTGTTGTATTATTGTTGATTACCGTCAAGTTGAGCACAAACCATAGCCACCTTATGAACAAAAGACCTGAGACACCTTTCAATAATTATCGTTTCTCAAAGTTCATAGAGTTTACAGAGGCATGTTGTTTAGGAAATGGATGCCACTCCTGCTTCAAAACATAATAAAATATAATATAAATATAATATGTTGTTGTGTACCT